TATCTGAACAATTGCAACTCCTAGTCAATCCTTAATAAGAGTGCTTTAAAATATGAATGTACTATAAATTTTATGCACAATGAAGAATATTCAACTTAACATTCATCTGGTGGAAATTTCAGTAACATGTTTTAGTCATTAAACGAAAAAGAACAAAGTACAAATAACTGCTGAATGCTGACAAGAACACGAGCCAGTTTTTTCCTCCAAAAAAGCAATTCTAAAGCATTAGATAAGACCAAACCTTATCTGCAGCAGTAACAACAGAAGCCACATTCTCTTTGTCTAGATTCTGCAATCCTGCAATAATCTGAAGCAGTACAGCAATGTATCATTAGTAATTTTACCATGACGAAACCAGGGGCGGATATATAGGGGAGATTATGGGGCACGTGAACCTATGGTCTCTCAAAATTAGATATTTTATGTACATATTTTCTAAAATTGTCCATGCTACAAGAACGTTGAATGGTGCACTTGGTTAAAAATTGAGTTATTTACCGAGAGGAGTAGGGATCAATTTCTACTTAATACATTTTCTCCTCTTTTTTTAGTAGTGCACCTATGTACTGAAAATCCTAATCCGCCTCACTGAACACTCTCCTTCTCCCCAACACTATCCTCTCAAAATTGGTCTAGTTCAAGTAACTAAAAACCCAATGAAGTTGTAATAAAATAAAAGGAACTCATTTTAGAAGTGCAATACCTAAAAAGAACAAGATAAAGCTCACTCTTTTTCTTTATGGGATTTTCTTTTTTGCATGATTGTGATATTAGAAACAAATGGAAAAGTGGGTTATTAGTTAAAAAGGTAATACCTTAAGGGCTCTTTTCTCATGAAATTCTTTCAAGACTGCTTCTTTGGTATGTGAAAGCAGGGCTCTCGTGGTACTTCTTCTTCTTCTAGCAATTGAAATGCACCTTGGAAGAACAGGAAGGGAATTCTGATTTGGTTTCAAAAGTAATTGGTTTTTGGGAGAAATTGGTGTGTATATTGAGATGCTCATTTTCTTCTTTCTTGTCTATGGAGGGAAATTTTGGCCAGGAGATAAGAAAGTTAGCAGCTTTAAGCAAGCTGTGGATATTTCCCTCATATAGCACAGAAAAGATAATACGAAATGAGAAAAGTAACAAAATATTTGCAGCAAGATATTTTTGTTGGATAACATAGAGTTACCCTATCCAGTTTTTGAGTGAAAATAGGACGGGCTAGCCAGTCTTCGGATTTATAATTGAAAAATAGTCAGTAGTTGTAAAGTCATTAAAAAATAGCCATTATTTTGTTGAACACGTAAGTTCGAGCATAATATGCGAGATTATGGAACTCCTGAGTATAAACTTTCAGCATACGTAAAGTTACGACATAATATGCGGGAATATGGAGCTCCTGCATATAACTTCCAGCTTTATGTTGGAACTCAATCACATGTAAAAAAATTCGAACTCTAGCCTTGAATTTTTCCGAATTTTAAGGGTGTTTTTATTTAGATTTAATCTTTACGACAAAAAGTAGCTAAATTTCAATTACTTTTGAAATCATTTTTCAATTATGAGTTGTAAATGTGACTATTTTTGGCGTAATGGCTTCCTAGCCACTTAAACTTATGGGGCTTTTAAAAGCTGATACATGAACTTTAATCTTGGTAGATTTAAATACTCGAACTCATGATTCCCTTAACTAATAAACACACCTGACCATTGAGCCTACGCGTGTGTATTACATATACCCAAACGTGTCCATCCAGTCAACAAATGACCAATGAATTTGTTACACGTCAAGGGCGCGAAAACAAAACCCAACTGATACGCCCCCCCCCCCCCCTATTCAATAGACCGACCAAAAGACACTTAGTTCGTCTTTTACCTCTCTCTAACCAACCCTCCCATATTAAACCTAGGTTAGTAATTGCCCGAAAAATCAGTCACCCCCTTCCAAAATCAATCATAATCACTCACCATTATTCGTTTGGTCTGTGCCCAGTCACGTTATACGATCTGAAAGTTAGTTTGTCTCTTTTGATGTCGCTTTCTCTTGTCATATGTTTTCTTATGAAATAATGTGTGATAGTTAGCTATATTTTGTCTGCATCCATAAATTATTTGGGATTTGGGATTTTAAATTAGGGTTTTTGGGGAAAACAATCGAATCTTCACTTTACTTTAGGAATTTTCACTTTTTTGATGTCGTTTTCTCTTTTGTCATCTAATTTCTTATGAAACAATGTGTGATAGTCAGAGCTATTTTTTGTCTGCATGCACAAAATATTTGTTGTTATTTGGGATTTATTAGGATTTTTGGGGGAAACAGTCGAATCTTAACTTTACTTTAGGGATTTTGTCCTTTTCATTACTGATCTGGTATTTAGGGTTAAAAAATTAGGGCTTTTGCATATCAAAATATTCTTGTCTCCCACTATAATTAAGTTTATGACTTTTTAGGGTTAAAGTGTATCTGACTTGGCCTTTTTATTGTATAGGTTTCAATGGGTGTATATGTGAAATTACAGTTTCATCATCTAAGGTGGTTAGTGGCTGACCTATTTATGAGGTATGTAAATGGCAAATTTGGCCAGTTATTCTTCAGGCTGACATTGATGAATTGCATGTAATTCGTTTTAATGATTGTGTTAAGGATATGTGACACTTAACAGTAGATAAATATGCATGTAAAATTATCAAAAAAGGAGAATTTTGATTTCTGAAATATGATGCTGATGTGTTAGCTTTGTGTAAAGACCTTAAGGATGTGAATTTTATTGATGTGTATCTATGTCACACAATTAATACACCATGTGTTGATTTGGACCTAGATGAAATGTCGAGTAGTGGCGGTATAAATGTGGACCCATTGATGTTCAACCATGTGGCTTTAATGAAATGCCATATGGGCAAACAAGTGATGTTAATGCTAGGGCAACACACTCACTTAACAATGATATAAATAGGGGTGATAACACTCATGGGAAGGGTAAAGAGAGGGCTGCTGATATAGAAGAGGATACAGAAGAGTCTAGTGAAGATGAAGGTGAGTTCTACAACTTTCATTTAGCAACTGATATTGAGGGTGATGAGGGAAGTTCTAAGAGTGAGGATGGTGATTATGAGGCTATTTGTGATGACGACGATGATACAGATGAGTCATTATATAGTGGTGATGAGGATATTCTTGGAGAGACAAGTGATCTAGAACCTGAAGTTGTTGTTGCTAGACAGGCTAAAATGAATGAAAGAGTAGTAAATTAAGATCTAGTGAAGTTAATACTGATGAGATTAGAGTGAAGGTGATGGAGAGGATGACTACCATGAGAGAATTTGCAACAAGGTAAATTTCTGATGTATCTCATATGACAATAGGGTACATAGAGGAACAATCTCAATATGCAGTTAGACAAGAATTTAAATGGAATGAGGACACTGGGTATGAGATACAACATGGTGTTTACAAACATATTGTTGACTTTGTCAACAATACATGCACATGCAGATCATGGCAGCTCAAAGGAATACCATGCTACCATGCAATATGTGCAATATTTTTTAGGAGATTTGATCCTGACTATGTTGTTTATTGGTACAAGAAAGAAACATACCTAAAAGCTTTCAGTTGTTACATACAGTAAGTAACCAACATGAAGATATGGCCATTAACTCAGAATCCCATTGTTGAGCCTCATATAATTACTAAGATGCATGTTAGACCTAAGAAAAATAGAAGAAAAGCTCAAGATGAACCTAAAAAGAAATTTGGTAAAAGATAAAGGAAAAGGACACCAATGACATGCTCTTATTGTAAGATAGTAGTCCATAATAATAATGGGTGTCATATCCTGGTAAATGATCAGATAATGCTTTCATTTTTTTGTTTGTTTGTGACTTGTATTTTGTTTGTTTCAATAACTCTTTTCTTTTTTTTGGAAATTTCAGAAAGCACAAGGATCTGGAACTGCATGTACCAGAAATGCTAATGCTACTCAAGGAACAACTGCTGCAAGTGGTTCTGGAACTACTGGTACCAGAAATACTCAACCATCTCATGCTGCTCAAAGAACAACTGAACCATCAGCCGTTGCAAGTGGTTCTGGAACTGCTGGTACCAGAAATACTCAACCACCTCAGGCTGTAATTGGATCTGGAACTTATGCTACCACAAATACTCAACCATCAGCTATTGCAAGTGCATCTGTAAGCAAGTGCATTTGTAAGTATTCATTTTTTTTACTTTAGTTAAGTTGTATTAGGACCATCATTTTTACATTATTAGATAGTACTTTATCTTATATCAGGATACTGGAAGTATGAGATCAAGGACTTCTGAGGATATTATATCTAGTGTTAGAGGGAGGCCAAGAGCTACTGGACTTCGAGGAAAACCAAGAACTGCTAGATTTGGTATCATGTTTAGTGATTCAGGAACAATGATAGAAAGGGTAAGTGATTTGGATTTGGAGTTTTATTTAGATATTAGTAGTTTGAGTGCTAATTTGACTTTCTATGCAGTGTGGATCAAGAGATAAGGCACTTTTTGCTCCTACAAAAATAGTGGATGCTGGGCAGACCAATATTGATCCTTGGATACAATGCACCTCGACTAAGATGGCAAGGAAGAAATGCTATAATACAAAGGTAACTTCAACAACAGTTGAGGAGAAGACAAACTCAAGCAAGCCTTAGCCGACCTCAAGTCCATTCCTTATCTCAACCAAGCCAGTCTCCATGTCCCAACTTGAGCCAATCTTAGCAATACATCAACCAATCTCAACCATAATGATTCGTTAAATGTTTGTTTTTGTGATAGCTTAAGTTTGTTAGTTGCAGAACTTAATTTGTAGGTTAACTATGGATGTTTAAGTATGGCCTTTATTTTGGCACAATGTTTTCACTGTTTCTGCTACTAGACAACTTTCAGTAGCTAATTTTGTCAACCAAGAAGTCTGATCGAACTTGGTTGTTTATATATGTCTGCTTGTATATGTCAAACATTGCTTTTCATTGCACAACAATTCATCATACATTTTGTTATTATCATTGTACATAGGGTTAAAAAGACAATTACAATGACTAGTGCTAACTAGACTAAGAAGGAAATTACAATAATTATTGCTAATACAACAACTAAAGTTACAATGATCTTCACCCTCTTCCTACGATGTAGTCGATCTCTCTCTTTCTAATTTTTGATAACAAACGTGAAATCACTTGTTTATAGTGATCTGGAAGAAGGGGTCAAATTAACCACCTAAAAAAATTACAAGAATTGTTTCGACCATAATTTGAGCACCCATAAAACCTTCTTCCTGGATTTGTTGGCTTCCAAGTGATGCAAAACTTAGTTTCAACTCCACAATGACAAAATATAGGACGAGCTTCAGATTCTATATAATGGAGGCATAATGTATTTTACAAGGAATGAATAAGAACCCGCTTAAATACACACTATTTTGGACCGTTGGGCATTGGGAAGAGGGTTCTCACGCTCCTGTGCGTCGTGTTCCTCACGCAGCAAGCTGATTAGAACCAAGTGACACTGCATGGGCATGGTCAACGATCAAATGTGTTTATTAGTTAAGGGAATCATGAGTTCGAATGTTCAAATGGGAAAGTTTAAAGTTCATGTATCAGCTTTCAAATGCCCTACAAATCTAAGTGGCCAGGAAGTCATTTTGCCTAAATCTTAATGCCCGCACTTCTACTGACCCACTTTTTAAAGGAACATCATATCAAAGAGCATCCATAAAGTAATAAAATTAAAGTCTACTTACCCAAAAAAAAAAAGAAGATTTAATGTCTTTAGTTTGAGAATAAGGCAAATGACTCATGTATGGTCTATCTTCTGTGCTCTATTAAATTTTTTAACAAGATCCCTGTCTATCAAAGTTATTTTTATGGTACAGCTACTTAAAAATTATCTCCATTACCAAATACAATGAGCACAAACTCGCAACCGCTCCTGAGGTAGAGAGATGTACTCAATTTTGTGCAATGGAAAGTTATACTGCAGAAAAAAATTGTGCCTTTTCCATTGGAAAGCAGGACATAAGAATTTTTTGACAAATGAGCCTGCTTTTCAAGAAAGTATCCGTAGGCATAGCATCCCTGTCCTAACTAAAATCAAATGACACAGCTATCAATACTCTACAAGAATTACACCAACAAAATACAACAATATCATTGTAAAGTATGCAGCCAGATTCAAGACCATGGCAATTACCTGAGAAACCATTTGACATATCTGACAAGGCAAAAAGAGGAGAGGGAAGGGAAGAATACAGCCACCGGTATGCTAGAAAGTATTCTGAGGATTAGCTCTCCTCCTAAAATCTTGTCTGTAGTATGGGGTTTCATCAATTGTCCTCCTAACATAATCCAAGAATGGCTGAGGTGTCCGAGGAGAATGTTCGTTTACTACAGCCGGACTGCTCCGCTCAGGAGTTGTAGGTGCAGCTACCCTTGGCGTGCCAGGAGGAGCAGTTGGTTGGGATCTCACAGGTTGGTCCAAGTAACAAATGAATAAAGTAGCTGTGAATATCATCAAAATGAAACACGCAGCTGCAGCGGACCATAAATTAAGATTAGCAGATGTTGCTCTTCTCTCTTCGGGTTCATAGCAAACATTAACTTCCATCCTCTGACCAGTGGCTGGGAGTGTAAAAATCAGTTTGTCTTTAAATTTCTCTGCTCTGCGAATTTTGACCTCGTACTGTGCACGGCTTCCTCCTTGCGAATCTTCCCCATATATTGGTCTGATAGCTAGCCGTTCCTGATCATGCCAGTAGATATTCACATCCGTGTTTCCTACGACAGTTAGGACACTCTTGTTATATTCTGGGGTTAGATTTAACTGCAATGAATCTCCTTCTGTTCCCAGAATGATGAAGCCTCCAACAAAAAGTGCTGAAGCAGAACCTGAGATATTCTGCTCTCCTATGAGCGATGCCTTTATGGTAACAGCTAAATCCCGTCTAGTGTCTCCTGACTTTGGAGTGGCAAGTACCAAATGTTCTGGAGAGTAAGGGAAGAAAAGGCAATACGAACTACCAGTATCAAGATCAACCCATGGCTTCACGTATCCAACATAAGGTGGATCAACCAGGCAATCAAACAAGAAAATTGCCCTGTTTTTAGCAGATTTATACTTGTGGCCATGAGCATCATTAAGTTTCACATGAAAGCTATATCCATTTGCTGGAAGCGGCACGTTTGTCAGCATCTCTCTTGGAGCATCAACAGACATCATCTCTGGCTGAGACACTGTAACTGTAGTTTGTAGTTTCATATTTGAACTCTCAAAGATAATTCGTGCAGAACCTTCCCCTATCGCCTTGGCATGTCCAGATAGCTGGTCCACAGACACAATGGTTGTATTACTACTAAACCACTGACCAGATACCTGATCATTTAGACCTTCTATGCTGAAGTTAAGACCACTACCTAGGTGAAAGGTTGGATTTTGAGGATGCAAATGAGCACCAACGAGAATCACCACATAATCAGACTTCTCCAGGTCATTGGCAAAACCTACTCGCACAAGAGCTCTACCATGACTGATTGCTCTGAGATGGACATTTCCATTGCCATCAACTGCATCCTCAACAGAGATGACATCGCGGTAGTTAGTTTCAACTCCAAAAAGAAATACATCATGAGCCTCATGGAAAGGATTCCCAAGCACATCATAATATTTGATCGGAACATCAATTTCAGCACCTATCGCTAATGTGTGAACCAGCAACTTTTCTGACGTGAAACGTACTTGAGTCACTTCAGCAACCTTCACACAAGATGCTACCTCAACTCTTCCATTTGACCTATCTTTTGCTTGAATACATGCAAGATTGCCACTCTCTTTTGTTCTTATTCTGCTCCCATCAATGAGTATAGGATCATCTTCCTCCCTTTCACCCTTTCTTCTACAGTCTCCCAGTATAGAATAAGTAACCTTACCCATACTTGGATCCCCTTTACCGAAAGTTTTAGAAGCTGAAGGCAAAAGATCAGACGTGGTATAATGTGGAGGGAGAATCCAAGTAATTGGTGACCCGAGAGCAAGGGGAAGCTCAGGCACTACCGACAAGGAAATAGATGCAGTATATAATCTTGACTGTGAAAAAGATTTACGAGCAACAAAATCACAGGAGAAAGAAACTGTAACATCTGTCTGCCCCGCAGATCTTCCATGCAATACTTGAATAAAACCAAGGTCTTTATCACCCACATATCCTGCCAGCCGATTGCCTTTTTCACTGGACAAGAGCATTCCATTTTTTCCACCATGTAAGTCGTCTGCTGCTTGGAAACTCAACACCTCTTCATCATTTATAGTCCACTTATAATTTCTGCAAAGTTCATAAAATGAAAATAAATTTCCCTCAGACAGGGAGGGAAATATTGGTATTTGACGGCCAACAGCTAGCTGCTCACTTTGAACATTTAACATAGCTGAAGAAGGAACACCTACTTTAACTTCACCATATGCCTGACAAATAAAGATATCTCCATTCCTGTATATCTTGGCAGCTATGGTACTGTTTCCTGGTGATGTTGCAGAAACTCGTCCTGTGGCTGTATGGACCTTAGCAACCTCATTATCCATACTGACGAACTTGATATATGCACCAGTTTTTGGGCCTCCTCTGACAGTAAGCACGTAAGAAGCACCTGGTACAAGGAAAATATCACTAGGATGAATTCTAGGTGGTGCATAGACTTCTACCTTAATTGGCTGACTCAGTATCTCATGGCCAGTATGTTGTCTAGCGCTGACATACAGTGTGGTGACCCCAAGACGCATCGCCCTTATTCTGAAGTTAGGCACAATCACATATCCATCATCACAACAGGAAAGATCATCTTCATTGACAAGTTCAACTATATGATCCTCAATATGAACACGAATATTCATGTAAACATACTGCGAAGAATCAAAAGTGTTCCCATCATTTACTCCAGCAAGAAAATTGATTGACAGTGAACTCCCTTCCATAATGCTCAATTCTTCTCCAGATGTAATCTTAATCCAGTCCACATCTGCAACTTGAACCACAGAGAAAGCGGAAAGAGGTGGAGCAAGCCCAACATCTCGAACCGTTACAAGTGCAGTTCCCAACTTCTTAGGAGCCAGTAGTAATTGTGTACACTGTAAACCTGGAGCAGGCTGAGTTATTTCCATAACTTGTGTATCATTTACTACAGCATCAATGAAACAACTTCCTCCAGTAATTGACAGATTCAACTTGGCATCATGATTGAGATACAACAAGCTGAATTCTGGATAGACCCTTAAGGATGAAACAAGTTGCAAGCGTATGGCATCTGTCAGATCATTCTCAGGGCCTGGAATGTGTTTAAGAGAATGACGATGGCTACCCAAATCAACAGGTCCAATAACGGTTGCTCGTACAATACATAGTCCAGTTGTATTTGCCAAGACCAAGTACCTCTCCCAATTTGATAACATTGCTAAGTTGTGGATATCATCCCAAAATGCCAGATCATCACAATCTTTAAGCTCCCACTTCAAAGGAAGAGAAGATGAGTTTCCAAACGCTATTCCAGACTCACTAATGCCAACTGCTGATAGTCGAACTGTGCGCCCATTTGCTATTGTGATTGGGGTAGTACGAATCCTTCCACTGCCACGGTCAGCCTGAGCTGCAGACTGGATCACTTCAACGGAATTAACAGTTTCATCAGCTATTAATGCTATAGAGGCTGGGAAACCACATGTGAGTGATAATTGCACTTTAGATACAGCAGGCAAAGGATGACCCTCTCCAATTAAATTCCCACGTTTCAAAAGAAGCCTAAAGTTTCCAACATCTTGGCACTTGATTCTGTATGTGCTCCCATAGCTGGTAAATTCTTGATTAACTAGAAGCCCATCTTGAACCCTGAGATTGTGTTCATCCAAACTCTCCACGGATTCAACAAATTCAACTCCCTGGTCCCATCGGTTAGGTCCTCCACGAAGCATCACATCAAAATATGTTCCAGGGGCAAGATATAGATGCTCCATATTGTCCAGGTGATTATCAGCTTCAGCCTGAACCAAATTAAACCAGTAACCACCAAACTGGTTTCCATCACTAGCCGGGTGCACGATGAGTGGCATAAAAGCTGCAATACGCGAAGTTGCTTGCAGAACAACAGAACCGCCAGTATAGTGATCATACTGTTGAAATTCTTTTGACAATGTTGCATGCAGCATCGTCTGTCCAGAATTAGAAGCATAGACATAAGTCCATGCACATGGAGGACCATATTTCTCTGTATCAATTGGAAGAATTTCTTGCTTTTCAGAAATAAAGGTCTCACCAGCATCCACAATAAGGAAAGCGTCACTGCCAGTTTTCCACTTTATGGATGGGCTAAAAGCATCACATTTGTAGAATAAGTCACCATCCAATGTTTTAAATGTCACAGCAGCTCGAAGATATGAACCTACAGGAGTCTCCACCGGAAAATTAGGCAGTACTATCATTAAAGAAGGCAAACTCACTTCAACAACTATCTCATCATAATTAAGAGAATCAAAAACCGAGACTGCCTTTATAGTCACTTTTCCAGGTCTTTTTGCCTGGACAACCCCAGAAGCAGATACCGACACAATAGACATATCAGAAGAGAACCATCTGTAGTCACCAGACACCATTGCACAGCCCCCAGTAACCTTTAGCTCCAACTCCTGATAAACACCAGGTGCCCAAGGAAGAGTAATACTGTCGGAGACACCTTCCATGATGAACTTCACCTGGTCACAAACCATAACTTCTTGAACAACTTTGAGAACTTCCTTTGTTTCTTCGTGCCCAGTGCAATATGTGAGAGTCGCAGTCAATTTTCCCAGACCACACGAAAGAGCTTTTAGGATTCTGGATACCCCTTTCTCTCCAATGCGATTGGATGAGGGAATAATACTCCAGATTTCTGATGAGTCACCATGCAACTTAACGTCATCATTTTCTGAAATGTAAACTTCTTGTACCCATGTTCCTTTCGAGAAAATCCTTACTTGAATGAGATATTCCCGACCAGAAACTACATACCAGCGTGCCACGGAGGGTATTGGTTCAATTCCCTTTACATGATCTCCAGAAAGAGATAGAGGTAACATATACAAAGATAAAGAATCTGGTAGGACAACGTGGAAAGAAGACACTTGTGTATGGCCAACCACCCTAGTATCTTCAACAGTTACCGTTGTTATACCCAAGTTCAAAGCCTTGGCAGTACCCACCATCCTGTCTACCTGAGCAACTGAGGAGTTTGAAACAGACCATCGGTGAAAGGCAGATGGCAGAGTAACAAGTTGTGGAATATTCCCACGGATAACTTTAAGACTATAATGAACAATAGCACCAACAAGGACACAAACCGGCGAAGGAGGTTCCAGAGATATGGCTTCTGCCACAGTTAGGACAATTTTATCTTCCATATATTTAACTGACGGTTCATCCAAATGAACAGACACTATTTCATGGCCGATTTCCGTGCCCTTTACCACATAGAGATCAGAAAACACGCCGCTATTTTCAAGCTTTATTTGGATATCAAGGTCACCACATAATCCGCCACAATCACTCAGTGGAGAGTCCTTCAAAGGGATATGTGTCAGGTGATGAGGCAATCCATCAGTTTCAGGCATTAGGTGCCACGTGAATTGTATGCCCACCAAAGACGAGAAAACATTCTCTGAAAATTCAGCAAATACATATTTAGCAATCGAAATAAAATGGTAATAATGCTCATATGGAGATTTATTGCAAAATAAGATATAATTTTTAGTTAATATGCATTAAACAGAAAAACTTTTGGGGGAAAAACTTGTACACTTACTACCTACGGGGTACTTCTATGAGCTTTTGGTTGCTTTATAGTACTAGATGTGTCTGTAGCACATTTTTAAACCCTTGTTTTTTTATAGGTTTGGGTGTTTGACTGATCTGCCTGCCAGATAAAAGAAGGAGAAAAGGGTAACACATTAGTTACAGAACGTCTTAGGAACTAGTTGGCAAAAGTAGGACTCATTGATCCTTAAGAATTTTATAATGACTAGAAGAATAGGATTTGTAGGTGATTTTCCATTTCATATGGTACAGAAAGAAATATGTACTTTGTCATACATATCATATACAATATATACCTCTTTTATGAAAATAAAAAACATATAATTTAGTTCTGTAATATTAGTTTTTCTTTTGTAGTTTTAAATTTTTTGGAGATAATCAGGATACACATAGCCTACACCTCATCTCGTGTCTTTGCCTTTTATAATTTAGGAACCCATCAAACAAAAAGAACAAGCCTCTTCAAAGCAGGAAAGATTACGAGTTACTTTTAGACAAGAAGAAAGCTGAGAGGAATAAAGTGAAACCACACAATTGATGACAGATATTAAACCATATTTTTGGCTCAATATATGATTCCAGTATAAATATGAAGATCAGTTACTGGTAAAAACACATGAAAAGATCCCAGCCTAAAGTAGCAAAAACACATGTTCAGTTGAAGAGTCTGAGACAGTATTTCCAGAAATATCTAAGCTTATCAAAGCAGTAGAGCAAACACCAAAGACTGCTATATGTTGGGAAGAGATCGCACAGTACAAGTGCACTTTTAAATGATGGCTTAGAAGAATAAGACGAAAGAATATAAAGTCTAGTAAGCTAGAAAATGACTGCCGCCTCTTATTTCAAATGCTAATTAACATTATGAAATCTTGCACCCTTTGGAAACAGCCGATGGTCTATTGGAAACAACCTCTATATCCTCACAAGGTAGGGGTAAGGTCTGCGTACACACTACCCTCCCCAGACCCCCACGGTGTGGGATAATACTGGGTATGTTGTTGTTGTTATTGTTGCACCCTTTTATTCATAGGCTATCAAACGATTGTCTTTATTTCCAAAAAATTAAGTAATACAATTAAAACTAATCGAAATAAACTATTAAAGTAGCAAAGTACCTTCACTATCAAAGGCACGGACACGTAAAGTAGCAAGGCCATCAAGGTCAAGTTTGACGGAGCTATGGAAAATCTGGATCCTAGAGAAGTTGTCAACATAAACTTTGCATCGAATCACAGCTCCAGTATGCACATCTGTCGCATAGACAGCAGTCTCCTTTCGACCACTATAAGGGGCAATTGATTTCAAGCGGGCACTTGTAGAGCATTGGCTACTGACATTGTACTCAGGCAGCACAGCCAAAATATCATGATGATCCCATGTCCTACACGCAAAAACCGGACACACAGAAAGCAGAGAGAAAAACATTAGTACAAATCCATAAGAAGTGTTTCTAAAAAATGAAAAGTTACTTAAATGTTATACCAATGTCAACTTCTCGCAACTTCAGATGTCAGAATATCCGTTGTCATTAGAAAAATAGGTGATGAATCATGACTTAAAAGTGTTTAACAAACTTATAATGGCATAAGATTTGTTCTATGATACATAGAACATTAAAAAAAACGAAAAAAGATTGTACTCTAGTCTCAAACTTCAGGCCTTATTCAAAGGAACTAGATTTCTTGCTGTTGCATCTAATACTCTTCCTTAATAATAATAAAGAAAACACATGACAACATAAGTTAATCTTGATATCCTCTATATTCATATACTAATGAAACTTCATTTATAATAGCTCTTCAAACACACATTAACTTGCTATAAATAACCTATAAAGAAATAAGAACCACCCATTACCAAAACCTCAGCTCTCAAAGGAAGCTAAGAGAAGACAGTGACCACAACAGATGAAAAAATCCAGCATAAACTTCAAGAATTAAGCAGAGAACATAGCTAAGATACTGCCTACATAGCTTAATAAATAATTGAAATCTACCATCTACACTCACAAAGCTAATGCACCAAACAGAAATGAATGCAATGTTTGGAAATAGGGACATACCATTTGAAGCAACCATCACTACCTTGAAGTCTATACTCAACAGGGTGAGTCATTTTGGGAGGCAACAGTATGTTGACATCCGCAATGTGAGGACCAGTCGCCGGAAAAGGCGTAGCCAATGGCAAAAGCAGAAGAAGCAGTGAAAGAAAGTGGAGCAACATTTTCAGGTGAAAACAGCAAACTAAGAAAGACCATCAGATTTGAGAGTGAAGCAGCCAAAGGATGTACTGAACGACGTATATGAGAGTTGAAGGGTCAAACCAGTGATTGAAGCGGGAAAATTTGGGGGCAAAATCCGAGGTAATATGACTAGGGTTTTGCTGAAGAGTTTTTGGGGTTTTGGAGATACACTGAAAAGTTTTGGGAGTGGGTTTACTTGTCGGACGTTTGATTGAAGACGACCAGGTTATGGGAATCTTTTCAATTTCACTAATTATAATACTTTATTACCGCATTATTGTGGAGTACTATCAAATATCAGCTTAATCCTTTGTTTGGAACGTAAGAAGTAAGAAAGGAGAAATAAAGAGAACGGAAAAGGGCCAAATATATTCTTCTATTTTTATTTATTGTTCAATCTCATCCCCGTTATACTTTCCGTTCATATATATCTCTGCCGTCCAACAAAAGTTATATATTTATTCTTATTTTAACGGACATGACATGTGGCACCATTTGATTGAATGAACCAATCCCAAAACAAAACAAAAAAATCCAAACATGCCTAAAATATAACCCATCTGACCCGGTTTCCCTTTTAAAAATTTTTCCTAAAATTAAAACTCATTTCTTCTTCCCCACCCCTCCACCCCCCTCCCCCTCCTAAAAAAAACAACCATTATAATGAGCTGCAACCTTAAGAAAACATCAGATCAAAATTGTAATTTCCATCAAGTAAACATAAGGCATCAGATTTAGCGTGTAAATAAGATCAAACACGTAATATACTAATCTTCCAATTTTTCAAATAAATTAATAAAAATCAAGAACTAAGAGACTAAATCAAAATCAGAAGAACGTAGCAAACAGATAGTTAAAGAAGGAAACAACCCAATTCAACAATTAAGTCAAAAACTTTACATAAAATAGACAAACCCCATTCAAGAGAATTAAGAGCAGTAGCAGCCCAGTGAAATTACGATGTTTACAGGGCTCTAAAATCGGACTTTTAGTGGAGGAAGATTAGCCTATTGAGAGTGTGAAAATTTCAAAAACGACGTCGTATTATGCGCCCATCGTTTCCTCTACCTCTTTTCAGGCGGTTACCTGGACGGGAAATGACCACCATCACCGAAAAAGCCACTGATCCTCCATTATTTTCGGTCAATAACCGACCCTGTCTAGCCCCACTCTCTCCTCTACTCCCCTTCACAGCCCCCAAAACCCACAAGATGAAGGAAACGACTAGTACTAGTCATCGGAGAAATCTCAGAGCATAAGTGTCCAACGCGACCCGAATTCTTTAATGTGATACTTTGGTCGTGCGTTTTAACTGGGTATGGGTGTTTTAAGTTGTGGGTCAGGTCTTGTGCTTAAAGGATGCCACGTGTCATGTCCGTTAAAATAGGGATAAATATAGAACTCTGTTGGACGGCAGGGGCATATATGAACAGAAAGTATAACGGGGGATGAGATTGAACAATAAACAAAAGTAGAGGGATACACTTGGCCCTTTTCCGTAAAGAGAAACATAGGCCAAATAACTTTATTGAGAAAATAACAAAACTAGTCCCCAATATTTAGAGTTGGTCTAAAATAGTCCATAGATATGCATTTGAACAGTTTTAACCCTTTTTTTTTTCCGGGAAAACAGAGTAAGCATTAATCAAACTCAATAGTCAACGGTACAAAACAAGATGAAGCATTGTCAAACCAATAGACTTCACTAAGTAGTGAGAAGGAAACTTTAGCTAACTTATGGCTACACGTATTAAGACCTCTATTTAGATACTTAAAAGATACATTGGTCAAATATTGCTTAAGTCCAAATATCATCGCAAACAGTATTAACCTCTTATTAAGGGCTTATGTTTCTATTAAGCATTTGAATCATTGTAAAGGAATCAAACAAGATATGTATGTTCTCCCAACCATACTTCATCGCCAATTAGATTGTTTTTCTTATTGCCAACGCTTCAACTATTATGGCTTTTTCAACAAAATAGATTGGACTATCATAGGCATGAAGCGTGTCACCGTTAGCTTTTAAGGCTACCATTCCAATACTCGTTGCGAGTCTTTTGATCCAAACCTGCATCTACATAAAGCAACACTTTTTCTTGAGAAATAATTAGTAAAGGCGTGTTAGTAGAAGCATCTCTCATAGTGTTAACGTGTTCCTTGCAACTGTAAATTCATTAAAATCAAATAATGCTTTAGATAAAATATTATTTTTACTCCACATCACCGAATTAAAAATACAATCATTCCTAGCCTTTCAAATCATCCATAAAATAGATATTGCCAGTTGCAATAAGGTATTAACTTCCGAGAATCGTTTAGTGTCTAACACTAATTTATACTACTATATAGCAAAATCAGAGATAAGATGCAAATTTGACCAACAAATCAGACTCATTTTCCACACATTAATTGATCTAGGACATTTTAAAGAACATGTGATCTAAAGTTTCAAGTTCCATGGCACAAATAGGACAGATGCCATCCATAGAGTGAATTTTTTTTATAATAATATTCCTAACATGCAATGTATTTCAGACACACTTCCTTAAGAAATGTTTGAGCTTGTTTTTAATATTTAAAGACCATAAATGGTTCCAAAACAATTTCGGAAACACATGAGAACTACTTTTTGCCCGATTAGCCAAACTTCTATCATTTGTAAGGAGCAATTTCGCAAGATAATAACCAGACTTCACTTCATATTTACCTGAATTGGTAATCAGCCGATCATTTGCCCCCATAAAAGAAATTGGAATGGTTAAAATAGATTCAACATCATCTTGGCTAAATAAAGTATCCAAATTCTGCATATTCCATGTGTTAATACATCGATCTGTTCTGATACTTTCAGATTTGTAGCAACACCACTCATCATCTTAAGGGGTAAAAAGAGCTATCTTCGGCAACCATGGATCTTTCCACACTCTCACAGATTTATCATTTGAAACATTCCATATAACACCTTTACTTAAGAGATCACGCCCCCACAAAATACTTTTCCATACCCAAGATGTCGATCTGTTAGTCTGTGCCTGTAAGAAAGATTCATTAAGAAAATATTTACCTTTAAGGAGTTGAGAAACTAACAAATTCGATTCAGTCAGAATTTACCATGCTAGTTTGGCTAAAAGAGCCATATTAAAAGCCTTTAAATCCCGAAAAGCCTAACCCCCCTTTAAATTTTGATTCATATAGTTTTTCCCACTTTTCAAAATGTATTTTTCTCTTATATCATCATTCATAGCCCCACCAAAAATTTAATAAACTAGTGATTTCCTTACATAGCCCATCAGGTATCTGAAAACAAGATATAGCATATTAGGGGATAGCAGCTAAAACAGACTTTAATAAAACTTCCTTTCCTGCTTTACTTAAAAACTTTCCTTTCCAACCCTATATTTTATATAAAATTCTATACTTTATGAGTGTCAGTATATCTTTTTTATATCTTTCCACTACAGTAGGTAATCCTAAATACATCACCCTTTCACACATTCGAATTTATTTAATGAAGAACATATTGTAACCTTTTCCTCCTCCATAGTATTCTTACTAAAAAAGGCTGCTGATTTTTTAGAATTAATTATCTGTCCTAAGCACCTTGCATATACGTCCAAAATTCGATTAATCGTAGTTGGAAATACACTGGGTATGTTGTTATTGTTGTTCTATTAATCGTAGCAACACTATCCTTATCAGCTCTACAAAAGATAAATAAGTCATCTCCAAAAAATAAATAGAAAACAGAAGGACTATTCTTCCCTAATATGAACCCTTTTAACTTTTTTTATTGTTCAGCCGAGTGTAATAGAGCAAATAATCCTTCAGCACATATTAGGAATAAGTAAGGTGATAGAGGATCACCCTACCTTAATCCTCTAGATGACTTTATGTAACGACCCGAGCGGTCGTTTTGAGAGTTATAGCCCCATCCCCTATTAACTGCTTCCCCGTATCTACATGCTATTGTGACCTTCCGAGAGGTTTCGTTTTAGTTTTTGGAGTGTGGGACACTTAGTCCTTAAGCGGAGGCTTAAGTCTTAGGAATTGGACCGTCGTCGGAACTGTATGAAGACGACTTCAGAATGGAGTTTCGTCAGTTTCGCTTGCTCCGTTGGGTATTTTGGGCTTAGGGGCGTGTCCAAATATTGTTTGGAGGTCCGTAGCTCATTTAGGCTTGAAATGGCGAAAGTCAAAATTTTGGAGATTTGGATTGGTAGTGGAATTTTTTATATCGGGGTCGGAATTCGATTATGGAAGTTGGAGTAGGTCCGTAATGTTGATTATGAATTATATGCAAAATTTGAGGTCATTCAGACGTGGTTTGATAGGCTTCGACATCAGTTATAGAATTTTGAAATTTCAAGTTCTTTAAGTTTGAAATGGAGGGCGATTCGTGATTTTAGTGTTATTTGATGTGAATCGAGGGCTCGACCAAGTTCGTATGGTGTTTTAGGATTGGTTGAGGTCCCGGTGGCGGTGAGTTTCGAGTGCTTGACGGATCAAAAAATTGAATTTGTTTTGTTGCTAAAGTGATCAGACTTCTGGTGTTTTCGCACCTGCGTGTGGAGGCTGTAGGTGCGGGATCGCACGTGCGGAGTGAAGGGCGCAAATGCGGAGTTTAGAGGCTTGACCTGGGATCGTAGGTGCGAGGGAAGTACCGCATCTGCGATGCCCGCAGATGCGCCTAAGGAGTCGCAGATGCAGCGAAGGACCGCAGAAGCGGACAGGTATCCGCAGGCGTGCACACGCAGGTGCAACCCTATTTTTATAGATGCGTACCCAGCCTTTATAAGTGATTTCCGCACATGCGATGCTTTTCCCGCAAGTGCGGTTGAAGGTTCGCATAAGCGAGTTCGCTGGGCAGAAAAGAGAGGATTTCGAGGGTTTTATCCCATTTTAAATTTTGGGACTTGAGAGCTCGGTTTAAGGTGATAATTTGGAGGATTTTCAGAGGAAGTTATTGGGTAATTATTTCTAACTTATTTTTGGTTGTATTCCATTAATCCATTGTTGATTTCATCATTTAATTAGGGATTTGAGTTGGAAAATTGGAGGGGAATGGTAGAAACTTCATAGAGAAAAAATTATAGTTTTGGAAGACGATTTGAGGTCGGATTTGAGTAATTCTTATATGGTTAGACTCGTGAGTGAATAGGTGTTCATATTTGGTGACTTTTACCCGATTCCAAGACGTGGGCCCGGGGAGGCTTTTTGGGCGATTTTCCAATTTCTTGCGT